CTTGCCCTGCCTGGGCATCTGGTTTTCATCTGTATGGGATGGTAGACTGCTCAGTGTGGTGGCTCTTACCATCCAGTTCTGTTTGCTGTGAATCGTTGGAGACATTCCCCTGACTTTTATGTACATGCTCGTTGTGTTTATTCTAACTCTGAGTTGCTGTTACCAGCATAGATGAATCTCTGAGGCCTAGAGTTTAGTCATCAGTTCTAGGGTGTGGCTCAGTTGGTGGAGTGCTTGCTTGAATACACAAAGCCCTGGGCTTTAAGATACACTTGTAGGCCCAGCACTTGACAAGTGAAGGCAGGAAGATCAAAAGTTCAGGTCATTCTTGGCTACATACAGAGAGCCTAGCCTGGAGTAGCTGAGACCGTGCCAGTATAATGGGGTATGCTCTGTACTGCTCTTTGTTTTTGCAGCTGTTAAGAAAGTAATACTTAATATTTCCTACAAATTTACTTAAGGTTTCTTTTCTTCAGATCGCAAAAGATGCCAAAGAATGTGTTCAGGAATGTGTGAGTGAATTTATAAGCTTCATAACGTCCGAAGCAAGCGAAAGGTGTCATCAGGAGAAGCGGAAGACAATCAATGGGGAAGACATTTTGTTTGCTATGTCCACTCTAGGCTTTGACAGCTACGTGGAGCCTCTGAAACTGTACCTTCAGAAGTTCAGAGAGGTAGGTGACACACTGTTTACAACCTGTCACTTCCAATGTTTGTGGCAGATGACATTTCTGGCAGTATTTAATGTGTTAAATTAGAGCATTTAAACACCACGTCTTTATTGTTCCCTTAGTTTATTACACACTTGAGCGGGTAGGCGGTGATTAAAAGGATTCTGAGTTTGTGGCCTGAAGTCCTTGACCATGGGCAGCTTTAAGTAGTTTAGACTTTGGTGTCTCCTATGTAAAGGACACTTTGTGTATGGATTACTGAAGTCTTTGTAAGCGGTGGTCTGTGCTGCTGTGTTAACTTAGGAGACAGCATCAGTGTGAGACTTCTCATACCAGGAGGAGGTGACGGGACCATACCCTTTGTGTGTGTGCATGCACTTATCTACAAATTCACACAACTTGTCTGTCCACTGACACCTCATTTTGTGAGACAGGGTCTCACTGAGCCAGTTGGCTAGGCTGGCTGGCCAGTGAGCCCCAGACTAGAGTCCCTTTTCTTTGCCTCCCCGGCACTGGCTACAGGTGTGTACACCACACCTAGCTTTTAAATGGATTGCTAGGAATCTAAACTCAGGTCCTCGTGGTTGCTTGAACAAATCTTTAGTATTAGAATCCCTGTAATGGGTGTGTGTGTGTGTGTAAACAAATCCACAGTACTTTCTCGGATATTTTCCACTGCTACAGACCAGAGAGCAGGCAGGACTTCGGAGGTCTGTTTCTTTTTTTCTTTCTTTTTTTCTTTTCTTTCTTTTTTTTTTTTTTTGGGGGGGGGGTTTTTCAAGACAGGGTTTCTCTGTATAGCCCAGGCTGTCCTGGAACTCACTCTGTAGACCAGGCTAGCCTCAAACTCAGAAATCCACCTGCCTCTGCCTCCCAAGTGCTGGGATTAAAGGTGTGCGCCACCACCGCCCGGCTCGGAGGTTTGTTTCAAACTGACTTTTATTTGGGAATTTTAAACACTAAGCTTGGAGCTTCCCACTGTATCCCACCTGGCCGGTAACTCTGTGTGCTGGGTGTGGGTGTTGGGGGGATGGGGGGCTTATAAAATATTATAAGGTTTCTAAGAGACGCTTCCAATTTTGGACATTGCATGAACGTTCTCATTTAGAAATAGTTGGATATGAAGACTTGTTTTGCTTTATTCCCTAGGCCATGAAAGGAGAGAAGGGCATTGGTGGAGCGGTCTCCGCTACAGATGGACTCAGCGAGGAGCTCGCAGAGGAGGCATTCAGTAAGCAGGCACTCAGTGCTGCCGGCTCGGTGCTGAGCCGTTTGTCTGTTTGAAATGACCACTAAAAGTTTATGCTTTGGTGTTTGAAGTCAGTGAGTGATGCATGTAGATTTTAACGGGGGTATGAGTCATTTCCATAGCTTCTAGCTTGGGGTGAAGACTCCTGAGAGGAATACTGGGAACCTAACATTGTAGGCTTTTATGTTAGCACAAGACACTTCGCCTGCAAGACACTAGCTGCTCAGCCCTGTGGTGCTCCAGCCACACCCTGTGCTGAGGCCAGGGCTGCCTGTGCAGGACTCAGATCCTGTTGCTAAGAGCAGTATAGAGGTCTGAGGCAGCAACCAGGCAGGCACAAGTGTGACTTGCATTTCTTGGGGACTTCTTGAAAACATGAAGTTTATGATTGTACATGGGATTTTATTCTGCATGTATGGGAGAAGTGTAATAGGACATTATTGGCATTAAGCTAAGGTTGAAGTTAAGAAAGTAAGGTTATTTCCCCTCCTAACTTTTTTCTTCCCCTTTATTTTAGCTAACCAGTTACCGGCTGGCTTAATAACTGCAGATGGTCAACAACAAAATGTTATGGTTTACACGACGTCCTATCAACAGGTATGGTGGGTGCCGTCTCTGCATTTGAAACCGCTTCAGAGACAGATTAGATTCACTGGTCATTTGAATCACCCATACTCTCCATTCATTATTAAGACTGTAATAAAGTTATTTTCTCAAACTATGTATTACTACCGGAATTCCTTTATGATTAAGACATTTCACAAGTGTTCGCTGCATCTGCATAAAGAGAACTGAAACAGCTCTGAGCAGGTTGGCCTAGCCAGCTGGGGTAGGAGCAGCTCCCTGTGTCTGAAATAGACACATTACTTTATTAAAAAATATTAATTTACATTTTCCAATCTTAGATTTCTGGTGTCCAACAAATTCAGTTTTCGTGATCTGAAGATTGGAGAGCCGGGCTTGTGTGGAGAGAGCGAGCCTGACAGAGTCTGGAGCAGAGACATTGGGAGGAAGCGAGGGTGGAGCCGCCTCCTTGTACAATACGTAGCTGTAATGTAGCTTCCTGATGCTTGACTAATTGAGGTGTTAATTCTGACTTGAGAATCTTTTTCATGAATGATTTTAAAAGAAAAAAATTGGATTTTAAAGGTATTAAAATATTTTTGTTTTGTACGAGAGTTTGTTGCTCTGTATGACGCCTGTATGCATTGTATATTGCAATTTATTACTGTCAGAGATTTGTAGACAGTTTCTTATTTTCATATTGAATCATGTTATTTTGTAATTCAAGTAAGCAGCTGGGTTAATTCATAATGTTTACCCTTTTAATAAAATATAAGGGTAGAGTTCATTTTGAATGGAAGTTGCCTTTATTATAAATTTGAGTTTGTCTTGGCTATAATCTTGCATGGTAACTTAGCTAGATGTTTTGCATTTATTTATTGAAAACAATTTTTTTGGTAAAACAGTCATAGCTTAAGCAATGTCATTTTTTAAAAGATGTAACTGAATAATTAAGTTGATGCAGAAGCAAGTGTTGTCCGGCCTGTTAACCTCGGTGCCCATCGCTGCCCATGGCTGTTCAGGCAGCTTCGTTACTGCCATGCGTGTTAGAATTCATTTCCCTTTCATGTGGTCCTAGCACTCCTGAAATGATCCCTTTCTTTGAGTATTACAGTCTTCTTCATGAAAAGGGAGTTTTCATTTTCAGTCCATTGACAGTCATTTTACCTTCATGGAAAGGGCAGGTTCCTGTTAGGCCATGGGAACTGAGCAGTGGGTGTGGTTCTGTGCAGAAGCTGCCAGAGGGAAGGGAGTGAACAATCAGGAGAGCAGTGAGCACTTTGAATCATGTGACTCGGGAGCCTTCTGGTTTGCTGTCATGCTATCTGCAGCAAACTAACATTAGGTGATGTGACTTGGGACAGTTTAGTGGTTTGTACTTGGGTTCTTTTTAAAGTGAAGATTTCTATTTTCTCATCTAGTCTTTTTAGTAATACTCATTTTGAATTTTGGTGTATGTGCTGTGGTAGTTTTAGCCCTATCAGAAATGGCTTATTGCTCTAGAAGGAAGTGGCTTATTTGTCTAGAAGGAAATTTGGGAGACTCTGAGGGACTCCAATGGACAAAAGAGCAGTTTCCTAGGTCCAGGCTGAACGGCCACTTTGCCAAGAGTCTTGTGGAACACAGCTGGCTGGTCAGAAATTAAATAACTCGCTCTTCCTCTACCTCCCCTTTCAACTTGTAGAAAATGCACATAGGAAAGAATGGGAGATGATGGTTAAGCAAAATCAGCAGTCATCCTACTGTGTTGAAATAACAATGTTAATATTTTGATAAATTCATTTGTCCTTTTACTTTGCTAAATATGTGTATTTTTATAAAAATGGGCTCGTGTTGTGCACAGTTTTGTAACCAGTTTTTCACTTAATATATTGTAAACATCTTCCCCAGGTCATACATGGTCTTCTGCATCATTTTTACTGGGTTTTTATTCTGTTGTATGAGTGAATCATGATTAATTTATTTAATTGCCTATTGAAAATTTTGACCTTTTTCATCTCTTCTTAGTTATAAACAGCCCTTCACTGAATCTTGTGTACATCATAACTTTTCTTGAAATAAATTCTTAGAAGTGGACCTGCTGGGTTGCCAGATAAACAGCAGTAAGGTTTTTTGCTCCTTGCGTGTGGGTTCACTGTGGACCGTGTCCTACCCAGGTGTCGTCGCTACCTCACTGATACAGTGTGAGGCCTTGGGCAGCAGACTGTTGTCGACAGCTACCTAAAGACTGAGTTAAGAATTAAGAGAAAGAGATCACTGACCATTTTTACATTTAAAGCATGTATCAAAACAGGATTTTGAACCTCATTGTGAGTAATGTTTTTTAGGGCAAAAGCAAGTCACCTCTGGGTGATAGCATCTCTCTCTACATTCTTCAAACAGGAAAGAGAATGCATTCTGCATGTGCCAGATACGGGTCCTTCATGCCCAGTGTTGGCTTCATGTCTGTCCTGGGTTCCGCCTGATTCCATCTTTAATAACCTTGTTAGTCTAAAATAATTTCATAATTGTGTAAATACTTCTTTTTTGGTTAAGAGTGGGGTTTTATATTTAAGTCACAAGCAGTGCACAGGACTTAAATATCCTGATTTTGGTATTTAGTACACTGGTGTGAAAGCTGTATTTGCTTCTCAGTTTTCCCTTCTTGAAAACATGCCGTATTGCCTTGGTGAGCTAAAGAAATCCAGTTACCTTTAACGTTCTCATTTAATTACTTAGGAGGGTCTACCTTGGGCTTCCATAGCACAGCCATGAGACAGAAGAAACAGTGGTGAGATGGCTCCGTGGGCAAGCGTGCTTGCTTCCAAGACTGGCCTAGTTCAGACCTCACAACCTCTATAGGGAAAAAAGAGACAGGACCTCTTGTGACCTTAACATATGCTGTGGCGTACACAGAACTCTGTCATTTATGATATATAAATATGTATACATACACAGTTCTCTCTTAGAGGAAGCTGAGTAGACGAAACATGCCTTCAGTCACTCAGTGAAATTAGGCTGAACAGCAGGGTTGCTAAGACAGCCCTGGTTGTTCTGGAGGGTTTCTGGATGGTGTGGTGGCAATGACTAGGACTCTGGGAATGAGTGGAAGCCAACAGAGCCCACAGAGTTCAAGGCCAACCCCCACCTCCAGGTCATCTCACGTTTTATAACCTTCCAAGTCACAGCTGCAGGGGACGCTGTAATGTCCTCTCTCTGGCTCTGTTCAGACTGTATCCCTCAGCACTGCACACAGGACGGACTTGTGTGCACATCGAACTTGCCTACAACACAGGATAGCTCGTCCTTTGTCCTTCTAGGTGTAAGTCAGTATTCCTCACTGGTGGTGGCAGGTCTGGTTTATTTCTGCCCCTGCTTTCTCCACTTAATCCAAGAGTGCGGATGACAAAAGGCAGTTCATCTTCACTGTTGAGTTGACACAGGCTTCTTGGGGCCCGTGAGACTACTCAGCAGGTGCATGCCACCAAGGCTGGGGACTGAGTTCAATCCCTGACCCACAGGATGAGGGAAGAGGGCAAGCTCCTGGAGTTTTGTTTTCTGGCCCTCTCACAGTTACACAAGTAAATGTAATAAAGCACATTTCTAGGCTAGGCATAGCAGGACTTGTATATCAGAAAGTCCTGCACACATGACAGCATGGTGGTGTGCTGCTGACGGGCCCAGTGTGTGAAGCTGATGCAGGAAGACTCCCCAAGTCCAGGAGTTGGAGGACAGCTTGGCAACAAAGTAAGATGCTTGCTCAAAACAAAAATGCAAGGGGCAGAGGGCTCAATGGTTAGTGCTTACTGTTCTTGCATGATGTGGGTGTGTGGCTCACAAGCACCTGTGACTGCAGATCCCGGGGATCTATCAAGTCTATCCTCCACTAGCACCTGCACTCACATTCACATCCCCTCTTCCCCAGTTTAAGAAACAAAACACTCTGGAGAACAAGGGATCAACAAAGGAGAACATCAAGGGGAGATGTGAGCCATTTAAAGGAATGCCAGGCCCATTTCTTAACTGGCAAAAACAGCTTGGGAAATGTGTCCTTGTGGGGCTGGTTCAGTGGTCAAGTGCTTGCTACTCATACATGAGGACTAGAGGTCAAGTCCCAGGAGCACTACAAACTCGGGACAGCAGCATATGGCTGTAATTCCAGTGCTATGGAGGTACAAACAGGATTGATCCCTGGCCAGTGAGAGGTGCTGTTACCCCCGGTTTTACATTTGTTCACCTACTGTAGGTAGAATCTCCCACGCTACAGTGCTACCTTACGTCCAGGTCAGTGGTCTCATACTTCTATAGACTGAAACACCCCACAGGGCTAGGTGCCATGGGGCTGTAATCCCTGGACTTGGGAGATAGAGGTGGAAAGATCAGGAATTCAAGGTCATCTCTGGCTGTAGACTAAGTTGAGACCAGCTTGGGCAACATGAGAAAGAGCTTGTTTCAAAAAGCCAAATAAGGCTGCTGTATCAACAGTAAATTACATCTTTAAAGTTCATTTGGGAAGCAGCCTAGATAACACAACTTCTTAATAACTCCAAACACTGAATAACAAAAGAAGCCAAAATAATATAAAATGAAAAATCTTTCAGTGGGTAAAGGCATTTGCTACCAAGCCTGTGTACCTGTTTTTTAAAAATGCAAATTAAATTCATCAATATATTAAAACATACATACCATGACTAAGCTGAATTTATACTAAGAATCAAAGGCTAGTTTAATATTTCAGAACAGTCATGTATAGAACACAGAAAGCAAGTCAGTAAAATTCAACAACTATTCATAATAAAATGCCAGCATCTATGGCAGAAGGCAATTTTCTCAACCAGTACAGGAGAGTTATAAAGACTTTCCAGCAGTGGACTGCTAACCATGTCTTCTTAACCCAGCACTGACGGCTGAGGCGGACCTTCCAGTTCAGTGAGAGTTCCTCTCCAAAGGCAGAGGACACTAGAGGATGACTTGGAGCCCGCTCTGGCTACCTCATGTGCACACACAACACAAATACACAGGTGCATTTTCTTTGAGGTGGCCATGTCCACCTGTACTCCCCCACGTACTGCATGTCCTACCCAGTGCTGTAGTAAAATAAGGACCAGAAACAAGACTACCATAATGGGCAGATGGAAATGAAGAAGTGCCAGTGGTGGTGGCACACACTTTTAATACCAACACGTGAGAGCCAGAGCCAGGAGGATCTTTGTGAGTTTGAGGCCAGTGTGACCTACATAGTGAGTGAGTTTCAGGACAGTCAAAGCTACACAGTGAGACCTTACCTCAAAAACCCAACCAAACAGAAGCTCAAAGGCAACTAGATAGGTTAGTACTGGAAAGAACAAGGGATGCTTGCTAGATCTAAAAGACTATTTTCACAGTCTCCAATGACTAGGATAGGCAGTATAACGTTTTACTCCCCCATAGCGTTGAAAGTATGAAGGTCAGGAGGCAGGTGGATCTCTGTGTTTGAGGCCAGCCTGGTCTATAAGGCAAGTTCTAGGACAGCCAGAGCTACACAGAGAAAACCTATCTCAAAAAATAAAAAAATCCAACAACAAAACAAAACACACATGCACTCAGGAATGTGCATGCACACACACAATCCTTATAGAGAAATCTAATGTAAGACATAGAGGCTTTGTGGGGAAAACTTGTTTATTGGAAGACATTAAAGAAAGCCTAATCAATAAAGAGCCATAAAATGCTTCTGACTGGGAAGACACATGGAAAAGATGTAAACATTTCCAGTTGATTAGCACAGTCAACACAACTACAGAAGACAATGCACAGATGGTGGGAAACGTAACCATATGCAAAGGACTGACATCCAGAACATATATAGAAATCATGTATGTCAATGAAAAACAACTTACCAAACATGGACAAAAGATACTAATCAGTATTTCACAGAAGAGGACCAATATGGAAAGTGATTCCATCAGTAATAAGGGAAATGCAAATTAAACCCAACAGGAAATACTGTATAATACACACTTAACTGGCAAGTACGAGACAGCCAAGAACAAGTATTGCCAAGGTGTAGCTCCAGGAACGGCAGGGTCACTGCCAGTGAGAACCCTTCAGAGTCCAGCTCAGCATTCCAGCAGACTCCTGCAAGCTGTTACATTCAAGTCGATGGTCTTGAACTCTAACGCTCTTAGAAATTATTGAGGCGGGCTGGTGAGATGGCTCAGTGGTTAAGAGCACTGACTGCTCTTCCAGAGGTCATGAGTTCAAATCCCAGCAACCACATGGTGGCTCACAACCATCTGCAATGAGATCTGATGCCCTCTTGTGGGGTGTCTGAAGATAGCTACAGTGTACTTATAATAAATAAATAAAGTTAAAAAAAAAAAAAAAAAAAAAAAAGAAATTATTGAGGCTACAGCACGTGAGGGGGCGGCTGCTAGTACTTCCCATACAAGAAGCTAAAGCGGAGACTGGTAGACACGAAACATCATGTCTGTCTATGCTTGAGCAGGTATTAGCTGTGACACTACACCTCAGGACAATATTGAAACTTGGGGAAAGCAGTAAAAGGACAACTGTCTCAGTGTGATGACAGCTTGTCCTCAAAGACCCTCTTAAAGGTGTGGTTATTGAACCACGGTATAATACTTCAAAGACAATGACATAGAAGAACTCTTGCACACATGAGAAAGTGGGTACAAGAAGGTATACATTCCTCAAACATTTACCAAGTCTGTCCTGTGCCATCACTGTTCTCAATATGGAACACAACAAGGGACACAGAGTGTGCATTACAACTGGGCGGGGTGTCTTAGGTAGCAAAAGCCTGAGAATAACAATGCAAATTCTGGTAAGAGCACATGTAACTGTAGCATGGTAAGGAGCATTATACAGATGTGAAGATGTGGAAGGCGGGCATGTGCATAAACATGGGTGTGAAAAGTCCAGAAAATATGTCACACAATACATACATCATGACTCCTTTTACACACAAGTTCAAAACCAGGTAAATCTAAACATTTTATTAAGAACACACACATGTATGATAGAGCTACAAATAAAAACACAGGAATAATTACTAAAGACAAATCCAGAACACTTACCCTGCATGGTGTGAGTAGAGGGGAAGGGGGTAGGTGTTTCTAGGCAGGTAAGGGTATTTTGCTTCTTAAGCAAGAGTTTGATAAAAGTCTATACAGTTTATAGTTGGCATGCACCTCTCCATTACAAATACTTTCAAACAAAAAAGATGTGAGGTTGTGTTCTACTCCAGCAAACGAGATGACACTGCCGTGTCAGTCGCTGCTGTGCAAATCTGAAGCAGCCATCAGACATGGGAAAGTCCAAGACACACCAACCAACCAGGGGAGGGTGGTAAAGAGCCCACACGCTCACAGCACCACAGCCCAGCTCTGCCACAGCAGCCCCCCCCGGCACCACTGCATCTCTGCGTGAGTGGTTTGCTCACTACGCACAGTTACTTCTATAAAGCAGATAATGAGCCAGACTGGCGTGGATAAGGTCTCAGCTAGCCTGGGGTTCTGATGGACTAATTGTCAATGTAAAGTAAACTATACCTCCTTACTGAATGGCACTGTCTAAGCACATCCTCCTAAGTGTGCACTTGTATGCTTCTGTAGTTCTAAATCCTGGGCAACATACTGCTGTTCTCAACTGTCTCTTCACGGTCACCAGGGACAGCTCCTTTCTGGGCATGTAAAAACTGTCAACTGTTTCTAGAGACTGTCTGCCAGCATCCCTGTCTGTGCCCATTTTTGTGGACTTGCAGCAGCTGAGGGACAACTTCTCCTAGTTGATGAAATTCAGTAAAAACTCTGGTCCTCAATTCAGAAATTCTGAAACCTGAAGGTGCTGGCTCG